TGGTTTCGGCGGTTATGAACATTCAGCATGATGCGACGCAATTTGAGCTGGGGCATAGGCGCAGATCACGTTGGAGAGCCCGGTGACCTGGGGGAGGGGTACCCCCCCCCCCCCCCCCGCCAACACCGCACGCGCGCCCCACCGCACGCGCCCCGCCGCACCGCAGGAGATCGCGTCGCTCGGGCGCGGGTTCGGGCCGCTCGAGTCGATGCGGATGATGATGGGCGCCTCGTACGGCTTCCTCAACTTTTTGCGCGACGAGGACGCCTACGCGTTTTGGCAGTCTGGCCAGGCCCAGCAGCCGCACCTGCGCGGCAACCGCATCTTTCTCAACTGGGCAAAGGCGCCCGGGCCGGTGGAGCCGCACGTGCTGCGCCTCGTGCGCGAGCACGGCGCCTCGCGCCACCTCGCGGTGCGCAACATCTCGGACGCAACCTCGGCCGACCAGCTCGGCGCCCTCTTCCGCCAGTTTGGCGAGGTCGAGTCGATCCAGATCAAGCCGGGCGAGGGCGCGCAGGTCAACCTGACAAACATCGCCTCGGCCGCCGCCGCAAAGGACCAGCTCGACGGGCTCACGATGGGCCAGTGGAAGCTGGTCGTGGCGTACACGACGCCGCCATGAGAGAGCCAGAGGCGGCGCCGGGGCGAGGGTGTTGCGGAGCCGCCCTGGCCCGGGGAGGGCTGTCTCTGGGAGTCGGGCCCCACGAAATCGCGCGCGCGAGCGGGTGTCATATCATCAGCAAATTCTATCACGCCATCAGCGAAAAAGACACCACCAGCAAAATTAAGGGGGACGCATTGCTGATTGCACGCACGCACCGACAAACAACATACAGCAACACACGTATAAATAAAAAATTTGGCGGCGTGTTGGAAAATGGCAAAAAGCGAAAAAACCCCGCGCGCATGCAAAAATCGAGCAGCAAAAAATCGAGCAGCAAAACCGCGTCCTCGGTTCGCCTCTGAAAGGGACCCAAGCCTGCGTGCAGCGCGAGACGGCGCGCATCCCCGCGGCTCAAGGCGCAAGCGCCCCACTGTGGTGCCGGTGCGCCTTGATTGTCTCCCACTGCCTGGCCGCTACCAGCAGCAGCGAGAGCAGCGCGCCAAAGGCCTGGCAGAGCCGGCGGCGAGACACAGACGCATCGATCCCGTCGAGTGCGGCGACCCACCGCCACGCGCAGACGAGGGCGGCGAGGTTCGAGGCGCTCATGGCGACCTCGTACAGGGCTAAGAGCGTGGGCGAGGAGGGATAGAGGCAAAAGAGGTTGCAGCTGGCCGAGCCGAGCTCGAGGGCGCACACGCCCAGAAAATACCAGGGGAAGCCCGCCTATGGGAGAAGAGGAGGGCGGGTGGACGGCTCCGAGAAGGGAACGCGATGCCGCTCAGGGGAAGCCCGCCGACAGGAGCACGGCGCAGGCGTGCCCGGCGAGGCAGACGACGTGGTGAGCCGCCAGCAGGACGCGGACGTCGCAGATCTGCCAGTCGAGGAGGAGGAACGCGGGGAAGACGGCGACAAACGCCCGCTCGCCCACGCTGCGCAGCTTGCCATGAGAGGTCCGCTCGCCCCACCGCTGCACGTCAAAACGGTGGGCCACCACAGCGCACCCAAGGAGCAGCGGGAGGGTGCCGACCTGCGTCGGGAGGCCGAGCGCGCAGCGCCAGCGCGGCGCGCCGTTTGCAAAGTACCCTTCCACCTGCTCTCCAAAGTGACGCTCGAGCGGACCTCTCAGCCCAAGCACAAGGCCTACATAGGCGGCAACAAGAGCCGCCGCCAGCGCGGTTCCGCCATGATCGACGGATGACGCCGCAGCCATGTCGAGGCCGCGCTCTCGCACCGTCAGTCAGATTGGGCCTGTCAGCAGCAGCACACGCGCCGACTCAGCGACATCGAGCGACATGGCGGGGTTGCTGTCGACAAAAAAAGAGGGATCCGAATAGCCCCCGAAGACGAGACGGCGGCGAGGCCGCGGTCGAAGAAGTATAAGAGGGGAATGCGGGCTCCGCAGCCGACGCCGAACCATCGGAAATCGAACAGGAGGGAGGACCGGGAGGAGAGGGGAGCCCCCTCGGATGGGGGGTGGGGAGATCGGGCGGAGGAGCCCTGAGTGGCGATGTCGGGTGAGAGTGTACGTCATGCTCGTGTCTAGTGTCTGGTGTTTACTAGCTCCGAGTAGAGGGGGCGTTCCGCCGCTAGGGGACACCCAAAGCGCAGAACTAACCCTCGGAGACCCGTGTTTACTTTAAGGCCCTTGCCCTGCGAATGCGCGCCCCCCCCCTAGCTAGGGGTCAGGGCTCTCTAGCCCGTAGCCCGATACCGATCATCCGGCCCGCTGGATGCGCTTCTCAGCTCACCGGCCCTGGATGTGAGGTTACCGACTGCACTCCAAGTGCTCCAAGATCCGAGCTCCCCGGCCCTGGATGACTGCACTCCAAGTGCTCCAAGTGCTCAGGTAGAAAAGTGAACTCGCAGAAACCGTTTCGCAATGCGCGACATTGCACTCCTCCGTGCCGCTCGCTCGCCGCTGCGCGGGACATGGGCGCCGATGCGGCTCGCGCTCACTCGGCCTGCCTCCGCCTCGCTCGCGGCTCGCTGAGCACGCCGTGGGTCCGCCTGGTGCAGCGCTGCCCGCTCGTTGCGCTGCACAAAGCTGCGAGAAGCAGGGGGCCCTCCTGAGCTGGAGCATTGTGCAGCGCGGCTGCGAGAGCTCGACGGCGCCTGTGCTGTGGTGTGAGAGCCTGATGGGTGGCAACCTCCTGCTGCATCGACATGCGCAGTCTGCTCTACCGCCGCGCCGATCTTCGCGCGGGCGGCGCGCATGCGCACCCAGGCCGCTCGCGCGCCGTCGCGCAGAGTCGCGCGTTGCTGACGCAAGAGGCGAGCTGCTCCCATTTGATCGCAAGAGCAGCCGCAGGTGCCGCAGCCTTGTGCTGCCGGAAGTTCTCGAGCCGGCGCGCGCGGCTGGCCTTGCCGCCGCGCGCACGCCGCTTTGGCGCCGCGGAAGCGATCTTGCTGCTCACCGTCAGCACGCCGTACGCCTCCTCAGAGGCCTTGCCCACCTCTCCAGATGTTGCGAGGACGCCACCCGGCATGCGCATGGCCCGGCCGGACCTGTCGTGGCGTGGAGCCTTGATGACGCTGCGACCGCGTGCAAGCACGAGCCCAGGATCGTGCGTGAGCACGCTCGCAAGGCGGACGGTATGGCAAGGCCAGCTCCCTACTAAAAAAGAGGGAAAAAGAAAAATAGTAAAGTCCAAATCGCAAACATAGAAACCCAAACACAGGCGGCGAAGTGGCATACGAGCTCGTAGCTCATCAGCAGTTGAGCGACATCGCCCCCCCCCAAAAGAAAAAAGTCTTATCCTAACGGTGTGGGGGCGCGGAGGGCTTGTTGGCGAGCCAAAATGGTGATGTCCGAGGCGCTGCGCTAGGCTCAGAGCGAGTTCGCGCTGCGCTAGGCTCAGACGGCGAGTTCGCGCTGGCCGCTGCGCTAGGGGCTCACAGACGGAGACGGCGAGTGGGAGTGCGCTGCGATAGCGTTAGCGAGGGAGGGCGAGAGCCGAGACGATCGAGTGGTCCCGTACCATGCGGAATCGATCCTATCCAGTGCTTTCAAGTGCTCAAGAAAGAAAAGGACAGACTCAGACAGCTGAGACAGCGGACAGCGGTGCAGATGGACAGGTCTCTCAGGTGAAATCTTGCCAGAATGTGGCCGCAGCAAGAGCCTCCGGCGGGCCTCCGGCGGACGCCTGCGGCGTGGCGCTGCGCGCCGGCCTGCGGCCCAGGTACCTATTTGACCGCTCGATACCAAAATGTGGAGAG